ACACTTCTCCAACCACACTGAAGATTGTTCTTCTCAAAATCTTCTCTCCATCTTTTTTTTACTGCAGCTACAGTATCATTGAACTCACTGCTTGAGGGACAAAAAACCTTCTTTGTTTAGTCCCAATTTTTTTTATTATTATTTTCTCAGAGAGTCATAGGGACACTAATCTGTGGAAATGAAGTTAAATGACAAAAAATAGACAGAAACATTATCATCTGTCACCGAATGTGAAACGTGGGTGATAATACTTTTACCTGTGCCTGTCCATTAGAAAATTTTCTCAAGAACTGCTTGACAAATTTTAATAAAACTCCCAGAAAGTAACTATAGCTAGTAGTGGTGGAACGGTACATGTGGGTGTATTGAACCATTTCGGTGCGGCACGTTCGGTTCGGTCCACGTGCGTACCATTTCGGTTATTTTTTTCCCTCATTAAATGTTAATAATGAGAGATTATGCGCTGTGGAACTAAAATTCCTACGCATGTTTCAGCACGGCACTATTATCTTGCAGCACGCGTAGCGTTAGCAGCCTAGCAGGCAACGAACAAGCCATCTCGTTGTGGTCTCCTGTTGGGGCTTTCTTGTTAAAAGACAAGTGAACAAATCCAAAGCTGTGTGTCGACGTTGTTGCACGGAGAGTGGATCTGCAGCAGCAACACGTCGAACTTGTTAACGCTCTTGAAACAACATCATCCGAATGTGAACGTAGTTTGTTTCAAAGACCGATAACCGCAGCATTTAAACAACCTTTATCAGGTAATTCAGATCGGTCCAAAGCAATAACACAAGCTGTAGGAGTTTTTAAAGCTCTGGATCTACGTCCGTATTCTGTTGTTGAAGCGCCGACTTTAAGCATATGATTAAAGACTTGAGCCCCGCAGCCTACGACATCCATCACGTCAACACTTCAGCCAAAAAGTTGTAGCAGCACTTTATGAAAAAGCTAAAACTGATATTGTCAACAAACCCTGGACCAGATTTAAAGCCCTGCCCTGATGATGAGCGAGAGAGAATATTCAACCACCTCATATGATGACCGTGCAACAAGAGGTATTGTTATTGTATTATTGCCATCTAATTAACTTTGTTAATTTAAAATTATAATCTTATTAACTCCATTTTTTTATATCTCTGTGTTGTTTGCAGTCTGAGGATGACAGCAGCTGAGTCTTCTTCATCCACCAGGTCACCTCCAGCTAAGAAGTCTGTTATGACTGAACTTGTTTACTTGGCATATTTTCAAAATAAACAAGTCAATAAGTCTTTATTTTGGCCTTTTATGTACCGAAAATTCACCGAACCAAGCCCTCCTTGAAACTGAACCGAACCGAAATGTGATTTTAGTGCACCGCTACACCCCTAATAGCTACAACTACATTACTATTTGGAGACAGTCTGGTTCAAGTTGGTCACCACAAACAACTGGCCTTCAAAAACACAAAAAATGGCTATAACCCAGTCAAATTTTACAGACAGTGTTCTACACTTTGGTGTGGTAGTGGCTGAGAGTACTTCAGAACACACTCTGTGACATGAGACTGTGCAAAACAGTATTTTCAAGGTTTGAGCAAAACAACTTTAATTCCATCATTTCTCAACATAAGATGATCTGTTTCAATCCAGGTGATCTGCACACACTCCTGACATGCAAGGGCTTGATTTTGATGCATTTCCTACCAAAACATTTTCTTTAAACTCCACAAATCTAGCAGGAATCTTGTTTTTTCACGTGTGCGGCACAACAGTCTGCACAGAACTGCAACAAATAGGCAGCTCTAACCATGAGCTCATGCTTGCAGCATCAGTCTCTGCGGTGTAAACAGGTGGACTGTACAGTTGTGAAATGTTTGCAGAGGAACTGGGTGTGTTGCGTGGTGACGAACATCTAGCTCCAGGCATGGATGAGGAGCAAAACCAGTAAATCTGGTGGACCTGTTTCTTTACTGGACCGCAGCTCCATATTTATCTCTGCCACAGACCTGAAGCTCCCGATGAGGTGACATCACCTGAGGTGATTCATGAGTCCTCACAGAGCTCCTTCTGTCAGCGCACACGTATCATCCAAGTCCATCTGATGGTTCCAAAGAGCCTCCAGTGGAGCACTTCTTTTCAGGATGTAAAATTAGAAATCTATCCGATTATGATTTTGTCACACATCCACCATAAAGGATTTAAGCTTCACATTATCAACAATTCCCCGTTAGCAAGCGTGATACGACTGATGCTATCAGAAATCTGAAACACTCTTCTGTCGCACATAAATGTAGCTGCCTGTACTCGGGCTCAGTGGAGGTTAGCTAATCGGATTAAAAATGTAAGTCCTTGTGCAGGGTCCTATGGCATTTTAAGGATTAAGTGCAGTGTCGGTGACTTCTGCTCCATTTCTGAGGTGAACAGCAGGAGGAGGACACGATCACCCAAGCAACACAGCGCCATCGACGGTTTGGAACGCCATACTGAGATCTATACGGATTATCGTGGGAGAAATCCTCACCATCAGCAGCTGGATCAAGGTCACAACAACCGGGAGGCGAGACGGTCCGTGTCGCGCAGCTTCACCTGAGCTTCAAATATTTTGAGTGGCAACAGAGGCACGCTGTGCTCAAAACGTCAAGGTCAGAGGTTGGTCAGGGGAGAGTACGGACCCATTCCTGCTCCACAGAAAGTGTACACTGAATATTTTCAGAGTTTATCAAAAGACAACGGCAGACAATAAAGTTTTAGTGAGTGTCTGTTAACAAAATATCTCATGTTGAATTTACAAAACACAAGAGAAAGCTATAAATGGAACGTCAACTGTACAGATGTTGATTTAAAACTTAGTGGGGTTGTAGCTGAGACCGAGCACTAACATACTGAGCAAGAACTTTGTTATTCATGAATATTTGGAGCCAACCACTGTTAGCAAAATATCCCATTAACCCCTGGATGGATTTTCATGAAACATTTAGTATATAATTACTGGATGTATATCTTCAACTTGTTTGTTATTGGAGCCAACCCAATTCAAGATGGCCACCACAGCCTATTACATTAGGAAACACTAAATTGGCCATAATTGAATCAGCTTCACAAATGTGCTCAAATGTGCTGTTAGTAGCTGAGTCATGCACGACAAACGTTATTGCGCAGGATTTTGTGTAAAACTTCCCCTTAACTGTTGGGAGTCAACCTTGTCTGTGTGTTAGCAAAGTTTCTCATGAACTACCACACAGATTTTAGGGAAACTTGTAGAAAGTAATCATCGATTAAACAACTGCAGCTGATTCACGTCTGGAGTCAATCCAATGCAAGGTGTCCTCTGCAGCCAATCGACAAGTGCCAACACAAAAATGGCTCTAACTCGGTCAGTTCGACAGATCTGGAGCTAAATGTTGTAGTAGCTGAGAGTCATTCAAAACAGCATGACATCTTGAAAAAAGTTTACTATCGGACAGCGGCCATTCCATCAAAACAACACCAATATACTGTAAAAGCACTGTTATATACATATATATATACATATATA